TATTTGCACCGATTTCACATTTGGTCCTCTATGTTCACAAAAAAACACATTTGGTCCCTCATGTTTCAAAAATTCAACATTTTTAGTCATTTATGTTAATTTTTCGTTAGTACTAACGGAATCAAACGTGACCCATCCATGCCTTAACTGACGGATTAACGGTAGTGTTTTTTTGTGAACATGGGGACCAAATGTGAAATCAGTGTAAACTTAAGGGATGAAAATTGTAATATTTACCCGTTAAAGTATTGAAACATGAGGGACCTAATGTGTTTTTTTATGAACATGGGGGACCTGATGTGGAATCGGTGTAGACTTGAGGGAGGAAAATGTAATTTTCCCTATGTGGATGCATGGCCGTCACTCATATTGATTATTTATATATAGAAATATACATAAATTTGGTCCTTTGTGCTGGTATATGTTTAGGAATTTAGTCATCTAAGTTATCATAATTCAATTTTACATGCAATAACTTTATAAATTTAGTATTTTTGGTCCTATTTCACTTGAATTTTGATTCTTTCCCTGATTAATGATTTGAATAACGAACTCGTCGGAATCTGTTTATATGGAGACGCTTAAGAATTATAAATGTTTCTCTAATTTGGTTAATAAATTTGTCCTTCATGTACATGATCAAAGCTGTATGAAAACTAAATTAGATGTCAAATTTATAATTTTATTATAATTTATAGGAGGTTAAGTGTTATTTACCCAAAAGAAAAAATAAAAAATATAAATTCTAAAATATTAGGCCATTTGTATGATCTTAACGTAATAACTATATGGACCAAAAAAAGTTAATATCTTTTTTGGGAAAAACACAGTTTTAATCCCTTGAGATTGTCCTGATTTCACATTTGGTCCCTCATGTTCACAAAAATATATTTGATCTCTCATGTATCAATAATTCAACATTTGTAGTCATTTCTGTCATTTTTTTGTTAAAACTAACGAAATCAAGCATGTGTCTATCACCTACTTAACTGACGGCCTAATGGTGAATTGACAGAAATAACAAAAAATGTTAGATTATTGAAACATGAATGACAAAATGTGTGTTTTGTGAACATGAGGGACCAAATGTATATAAACTTGAGTGATGAAAATTGTAGTTAATTATACTTATCTTTTTTAAGTGTGACTTTTTATGAAAATAAAGTGATACAGGAGGAATTCTCCCAAAGTAGGGGTTCCCAATGCTATTCCTTTGTAAAATTGATGTGCGCCGTCTAAGTATAGTAACTAGTCCAACCACCGGTGGGGGAGGGGGCAGTGGCGAATACAGGATTTTTGCCAAGGGTGTTCGGAATTAAATATAGTAAAAAAGGTAAAAGTTTATGGGGGTCCGGGGGCAGCGCCCCCGATTTTTTTTTAATACTATACACATTAAATAATAAAAATATGTAATATTTTCAAATTTAAAGGGATTATTTTACAAATTTTGGGCTAATTTAGGAAATATTTAGACATAAAATTGGTGAAAATATTTAAGGAGTGGTAAGCATATTAAAGTTGCACGTGACAAAATGTGTATTTCATTAGCAGATTTTGAATTTTTAAAAAAAAAAAAAAATACCCACATAGTTGTAAATTTAGAAAATAATTGTAATAATGCATATATATATATATATATATATATATATATATATATATCAAATTAAGAATTTTGGAATAATTTAGATTATATAAAATATTAAAGGAATGGTAAATGAATTAAAGTTTCAAATAGCAAAATATATGTTTTATTAGGAGATTTTGATTTTTTGAAATATTCAAAAATACCCACATATTCAAAAAAAATTGAAAACAATTGAAATATTATATATATATATATA